TCCTAACAGTGAGGTGATAGTGTAGTGGGGGATGCCCACCCGACCCCCGCCCTTCCATACCCCCGCATTCTCCAACGACGCCAATGTGCTGTATCAAGTGCTAGGCATCTCCTTCACCACCTAGCCCTCTATCCCTACGGCGGGAATCATCGCCTTCGTTTCCCACCAGTCCAGATATACAACCTGTAAAGAACCACAGCATGCCGCTGGCCTATGCAGGCAAGTTGGCTAATCGCTGGATGATTGTAATCGCTGTCAATCATGCCTAGCGATTACGCTGGACAAGAGCCACTGGCAAGAGGCCATTCCCGAAACCGCTCCCAAGCTGCGAAAGGCAGTACGGACTCAACACCCTCAGTCCATAACAAGGACAAAAACATCAAATCCCCTTCCCAGAAAGCAATGCTATCAAGAGCTCTTCAGCGAGCCAATACGGCAGTTCAGCTCGATAACGCTCAAAACTTTGAAGGGGCGCGCCAATCGTACGCCGAGGCCTGCGACCTGCTGTCGCAGGTCTTGTCACGAACCACAACAGATGAGGATAAGCGCAAGCTGGAAGCTATCGTGAGTTCATCTTTCTCAGTGTTGGTCCTGACACTCACGTTTTGTGGCGTAGCGGCGAACCTACACTAGCAGAATAGAAGAGTTGGATCAGATTGGACCAGCCCAAAGCCCAGAGGGCAAGGAACTTCCAGCCCGCCCCGAAAGCTTAGAATTATACTCTGGGCCAACCTCCCGCTCCACTGACGATGAGTTTGAGGACTACGATAATGTTAGGGGGCTTGATAATTACACCGCGGTCGGCAGCGATAAAGACCGAGGTGGAAGCTCGTCGTTCGACTCAGACATAGATTCCAATCACTACCGCCCTCAGATCAGGGCTAGTAGCCGGAGTCATGGTAATCGCCGGGGCAGTCTCAGCAAAGATCCAGTATCCGGCCCTTCACGGAGGGGTGCGGGTCAGTATCCGTTGCAATCATCCTTCTCCAGGTCCGATACTCACGTCCTCTTTCAAACACCCGAAGACGACTTCTCAATGCCGCCCCCGCTTTCACCACGGCGCTCGGATTCACCCGAAGAAGCCCAAAGGCCCTTCAGCCCTGACACGGCTGTGAGGGCAGACTTCTCTATGCCGACCGCATTAGAAGATTCATCTACAGTCAATAAGCGGTCCTCTAGCCGAGAATCTAACTCATGGTTAGACCCTATCGATGAATCAAGCGGCTCTACGGCATCATCTGTGCATTCCCGGACGTCCTCACGTGGTTTACGGAGAAAGCATATACGTGCCCCTAGTGGTGCCACTGAAGCTGAATTCGATGCTGCGTTAGACGCTGCAGTCGAGGCAGCTTACAATGATGGCTATGAACCGGCTGACCACTCGGGCTTTGAGGGTAGCAGTGACGAGGAGCTTGCTTCCAATTCCGTAGGGAGGGACCTTCCTACTAAGCAGACAGTTCAGGATTTACAAGATGAAGGGCACGAAATTAGCCTCTCAAAACAGAGACAGGACTCTGATACCATGCGCCGGGACTTTTACGAGGATGACTCTTCCGAGGACGAAGACCGCCTTCTGGCAGAAATAACCCACGCTCTAGCCGCTGAAGACTTGGCGAATGCTATTGATGTAAGGGCGGTCGCACAAGAATTACCCCAAGGGCACTTAACCGATTACTCCTGGCAGTCCACCTACGGAGCCCCTCCCGTCCCTCACGTCACAGATACCAGCACCACTCACATGGCGGCATCTGAACCACTCGCACCCCCGCCAACGCAATCTTTACCCCAACCACCCATCAAGATAGGCTCGTCTCTATCCCGCGGAACATCTCCAGTATCTGGCCAGACTGTAAGAAGCCGTCGGCTTTCTGGTCAGAACCTGAAGCAACTCAAAATCGAGACCGGAAAGGCGAGTAATTACGGCGTCGCAACTCATGCCGCTGAAACTCTCCAACCACGTACAATTGATGCCGCGGAAGAGGACGACATATCACCCCGAGGTGTTGCTCCTGATGCAGGCATCTCGAGCCAACGGTCATCCATTGACAGCGAAATCAGTCCCTCACAGCCATTGCCTCCAACGCCGACTCAACTTTCTTTAGCAGAAAACGGTGATGGCGATACCATGGACAGCCGTGCTAATTCACCTGTCATCTTTCCGCCCGCATTGAGAAAGAATTACTCCTCATCAAGTTTGAGGAGCTTACGGAGCCGAAACATGTCGACCTCCAACCTAGATGATACTTCAGACATGTCTCCAGGTACACCCTTGAGTAATGGCTTCGCACCACATATCAAGGGACCGGCTATGCCAGCAATTGCAACACCACTTACGGCCGCGTTTAGAGATAGGATGAACTTGGCAGGAGGACTTCACCTATTCGACGACAGTTTTCACGGTCCGCAAAGCCCTGTATCGCCAGGCCTAGCAAGCCCAGATACCCCAGTATCTCTTGAGCCCTGCCCAACAGATTATCTGCTTCGGCCGTTCTGGTTGATGAGATGTCTTTATCAGACACTTGTGCACCCTCGCGGCGGTTACCTGAGCAACAAGCTTTTCGTACCTCGAGACGCGTGGAAAGTCAGAGGCGTCAAGATCCGGGGTGTCGACGACAAAATTGCAATTTGTGACTATCTGACTGCCGCGCTCCTCAAACTTGCAAAGGTAGATACTTGCGACGCCGACGCCGTTTTAGAGGAGATGCAGGCGCTTGAAGGTATTCTTGAACAAGTGCAAGCGAACCTCACGCGCAAACTTGGCATGGAAGTCGGCGTGCAAAATTCTGGCACTCTGTTTCGTGATGCCTCAAATTCCGCAGAAATTGAGGCAGCGATCAACGTGCCGCGGTCTGGTAGTGTTTCTGGCAAATCCTCGTCTTTTTCATGGCGGCGCCTCCGATCCAAGAACTCGGCCCGCAGGTCTGAGTAGTAGCTATGGCAAAAACAATATTGGAGACAACGGTAAGGAGTCACCTTCACTGGAAACTCTGCCAATGACTGCGCATCCCACGAGCCGTCCGGCCAAGCGTGATATGGGCAGTGTTGAGTTCTCTGGGCCCAACGCCCCATACATGGGATCATTGGCACGGTTGTTTGATGCTGCACAAGCCATAGGTGAGATGATTACGAGGCCCGAGTCAATTGGTCACTGCTGATATCAATTAGACCAGATTGCTCGACAGGTAGAAGACCCCGGACTTCGTCATGCCGATAAAACCCAGGTAGGCCTTGAGCTCTGCACCCGCCATGCTGCCGAGTTTTTCGGCTTCTATATCTGCCGCTTTGTGATGAGCGATGTCAGCACTCTTCTCGATAAGTTTGTCAAGAGGGGAAGTGAGTGGGTGATGGCGTAGGATGTTCTCGGACTCGATGAGTATGGCAGTTGAAACCGTGCGAATAGGATAGATCTTCTCCATTTGCAGGGCTAGCATGTCGGCAAACACAGCAGTTCCCCTTGTCATTCCGATGATCAAGATTCGGGGACTTTGCGATATGCCGCAAACTAGTAGGGCGTCTGTAGACTGGATGGTCGCGCACGTGACCATTAGCGCCACCGTTCGCGACGCGTGCCTTACCTTAAACAAACGCCTTGCCTGAAATAGATAGATAAAGATCTTATCAGGCAACTCAGGTTGCTAGTGATTAAGTTGGCTGGGTACTGAAACTTGTACCTCAGCATCATGGCAGTTGAGACACGACGCGACCACAGTTCCTGCTCGAGCATCCCTTTCTACGATCCGGAATCGTCTCTTCGACACAGTGTCCATATAAATTAATTGTAACGGCCCGATAGGCGCGTTTTGTCATTCTACACATTGCTGGGAAGCTTTGGCTGCGACCCGACCACACTGACATGCCAAGTTGACGGACACCTATACGTTCGACGATGAGCGTTTCGGCACCAGGTTCGCACTTTCTGCGTAGTGTTCTGTATCAACTTGTATGTCGTGGCCCTCGCCGTGTACCGACCATAATCACAGAGCACCGAAACCGCTTTCACCTGCCTCCTGTTGCAGCCGTACGTTCGCAAGGTTTCCATGGGGGCTGTGGACTGGCATTTGCAGCGCCGAGAACGCCAGACAGCCACGCTTATCCCAATCTCGAGCGGCGCATTGCGTCTATTCCCATTGAGCGCTATCGTAACTTTTGCATCGTTGCTCACATCGATCATGGTAAGAGCACGCTCAGTGATCGTCTCCTCGAGTTGACTGGGACGATTTCTGCCAACGCCTCGAACAAACAGATACTGGTAAAACCCGACACTACGCTGCTTTGGTTTAAGTTGCAGCAGCTGAGTTATCTTGTGCACAGGATAAACTGGACGTGGAGCGCGAACGTGGCATCACCGTCAAAGCACAGACTTGTACCATGATATACAACTACAAAGGACAGGACTATCTTCTACACCTAGTCGACACACCCGGGCACGTTGATTTCAGAGCCGAGGTGACGAGATCTTATGCAAGCTGCGGTGGTGCACTGCTGCTAGTGGATGCGAGTCAAGGTATTCAGGCTCAAACTGTGTCAAATTTTCACCTCGCATTTGCGCAGGATCTAGCATTGATACCTGTTGTCAACAAGATTGACATGATCTCTGCCGACACTCCTCGTGTTCTCGAGCAGATAGAGTCGTCGTTTGAACTTAACCCCAAAGATGCCGTGCTGGTATCGGCAAAGACTGGTAAGAATGTTGCAAGTATTTTACCCCAAGTCGTGGAGCGGATACCTGCTCCTGTCGGAGATTCGTCAGGCCACCTTCGCCTGCTCCTTGTTGACTCATGGTACGACAATTTCCGGGGTGTCATCTTGCTTGTTCGTGTCTTTGACGGTCAGGTACAAGCTGGCGATCAACTTGTATCACTCGGGACTGGTAACAAATACACCGTAGGCGAAGTCGGAATCCAGTATCCTAGTGCCGTGCCGCAGAGCGTCCTGCGAGCCGGACAGGTAGGATATATTCACTTCAACCCTGGCATGAAACGCATTCAAGATGCCAAGCTCGGTGATACGTTCACGACGGTTGGGAATGAGGATTCGGTTGTCCCATATCCAGGATTTGAAGAACCCAAACCCATGGTGTTTGTTGCTGCTTTCCCAGTGGAACCGAATGACTACAGCCGTCTTGCTGACAGCATCAGCCAGTTGGTGCTGAATGACCGCAGCGTGACATTACAGAAGGACTTCTCTGAAGCCTTGGGGTCCGGATGGCGGCTTGGATTCTTGGGGAGCTTACACTGCTCTGTTTTTCAAGATCGTCTCCGTCAGGAACATGGTGGAAGTGTGATCATCACAGACCCCACCGTGCCTACAAAGGTGGAATGGCAAGATGGTACCGAGGAAATATTCCAGAATCCGTCTGAATTCCCGTCCACAGATGATCATCGCATGCGTGGCGCCACAACGTACGAACTGTAAGTATTATCTTTCTGTCCTCTGCCAGCCGATGGTCCTGACTATACAGTTTCGTTACTGCGACTATCACTCTACCTGAAGAATACCTTGGTCGAGTGATGGAACTGTGCGAGAGTATGCGGGGGGAGCAGAAAAGCCTTGACTTCTTCCACACCACCCAAGTCATTTTGCGTTATGAGATCCCCGCGTCTAATCTGGTCGACGACTTATTTGGCAAACTCAAAGGTGCTACGTAAGTCCTCCAAGTGCTGTTCTCAATGAGGTATATCGTAAAGCTGACTTGCCCCCGAAACAGAAAGGGCTATGCTACATTAGACTACGAGGACGCTGGTTGGCGACCCAGTCAGCTTACCAATTTGCAGCTTCTTGTCAACAAAGCTCCAGTCGATGCTATCTGTAGGGTCATTCATGTGTCCCAAGCTGAGCGACTGGGCCGTCAATGGGTGACCAAGTTCAAGGAACACGTGGATCGGCAAATGTTTGGTATGATAGTGTGACTCAGTTCTTGTTCATATGTGCCATCTCGCTAACGTATCCTTTGTCCCTAGAAATCGTGATCCAAGCAGCTGCCGGGAGGCGAATCGTGGCCCGCGAGACAATCAAGCCATTCCGAAAAGACGTGCTTGCCAAACTCCATGCAAGTGACATCACCCGCCGACGGAAACTTTTGGAGAAGCAGAAGGCAGGTCGAAAGCGTCTTCGCGCCGTGGGAAACGTGGTCATTGATCAATCTGCATTTCAAAGTTTTCTGGCGCGATAATGGCCGTCTGGTTCTGCCGTGTGCTGCCACATCATTCAGTTCGATGTGGCAGTCTGAACCTCATCATCCGGAAGATGGTAACCAAGTTCTACTATGTCGACGCATGATTTGCCAAGACCACCGCGGATCGTCGCGGTCCATTGCATCAGTTGCGGCAGCTGCCTTGGTTCAGCTGCTGCGACGAGTTCGAAGACTCTGAAATCGCCATTGAAGAACGAGAAGCCTGTCAGACCAGCGCGAAGGAAACCGGAATGCGAGACAACAAACACAACCTTTTCTGGCCTTGCCTGAAGACTTCTCAGCCCAGTCTCGGCCCGAGCTAGGATGGCACGCCGTGTGTACGCATACGAGGCTGCACCGTGGGAAGTTTTATCGGGATAGATGGGATCGATGGTCGAAAAGTCAACAGTCGGGAAGCGTTCCGCGAGGGTATTAATTGTGCTACCTGTGTCACATGGCTTGATGGAGTTCTCTGCGTCATTGTCAGTCGATGCGGTTAGATCAAGTCGTTGATAGCTTGGTCAACAGAAATCGGACATGTCACACCTTGCCATGTGGCGTCGGCCCGGATCTGCACGCCTTTGTCAACCAGCCAGTCTAACGAGAGCAATGCGGTCTGGATTGTGCGTATCATGGGGCTGACGATGATTGCGGCATCTTGCACGTCGCCAAAAGTCTCTAGAAGACTCGATCGAAGCTCCCGACACTGAGCCAGCCCAAGGGTAGATAGCGGGGGATCCGGAATGGTATAGTTCTGTATCCGGGGTCAGAGTATGTACGCTGCAGTTTCTTCGCTGGTGGGACTTATTGGCGACGTTGTGTAGAGCCTGGGCATGTCGGATGAGCACAATTATGTTGGGCATCTTTCATATGCTGCCCACTTAGGCCTGTTGTAGCTGAGCGGGTGTTCAGTACAGTCCGGGCAAGGTGACCAGGACTAGCTTCTTAAGATGGACTTCTGGGGAAAGCCGTCGATGACTCTCATCCGAATCTGGCACAGCCACCGCACATGACATGGGCCCCTGTTCCGTTCAACAACCTTCCATCAGCTCGTCAGCCACGATACTCAGCCATGAGATGGTTTGACTGTCTTCATCTCTTCCAGCTTAACTACTATAGTGCTCGTGTCCCGAAGCATATTCGCCCCGACAGAGACTCAAGCTTGAGATTTGGCATACATATAAGTGGAGAGACGGGTCCAGGGCCGTGAGGTCAGGTCAACAAAGTCCCCTTAGGTGCTCACTGGCTCAAGCTATACGACTGCACTGGGGTTCTCAACTCCACCTTTTCTCGCGCCGCGATGGTCCCGAATACCGCACACACGAACCCTAGAAAGCGTGCTGCTCTAGATTGAACTGACCTTTCAATAAAGGTCGCTAAACCCTTATTTAGGTGTGCCTTCTTGATCATGGGCTTGCTCATGAGCAGATAATGCAAGCCAGGAACATCTAAACGAGCTATTGGTTCACACAACCTGATCCCAGTTGGCGTCGTGGGACCCGAATTGTGGGCCCAGTCCATGCACGACACGGGGAGCGGGTCTGTCACGGTAGATTCAGCATTCCCAGTATCTATGCAACCTACCTGCCCAGCTTGTCTTCATCTGACATACCTTCTTCGCAAATGCATGTATGCAACCAAGGCTGCACGCAGCACTTTTGAATAGGCTCGTCTGGCAAGGCCATTGGGAGCGCCCGACCACAAACTCGGTTCGCTTCGTACCTCATCCGGGACCACACACTTCAAATCATAGATCGTCCAAGAGCGAGATTGTTATCAGCTGTCATGCCGAAGGTTGACGATCTATTCTCGGTTCGTGCACATATTCTCCGCCACTTTGAGAGCAACATGACTGAGGACATGAAATAGCAAGCAGGAGCCCAAAGCAAACGAAGGCTGGACCCAATTCGAGACCCGGGTAGGCCACCAACTAGTTGCACAGTAGCCATAGACTATGTCCCTGACATATATCACAGCTGAGGTGTACAAATCGGCCAGGCTCAACGACAATGATCTGCGGCGAAATGAAGCAAGGAACGACGTTTTTGGCACTGGGCGGACAGGGCACATCTCGGACCCAACTCCCAAGACCGAATCAGGGCTAGATGACGATCACAACCCCCTCGCACCTTCACTTACGCATAATGATGGCATCAGTGTCGAAGAAGACGATGACGGCGAGGGCCGCTTCTTCGGTGGCGGCGTATCGAGGCAGGAAACGGAAATCATGGACTATGTCGCTGCTCGTGCGGACGACATCCCGATGCCAGAAAAAATAGACAACACTTGGCTTCGGAAGACAGCCCTGAGCTTCGAAAAACACATCAACAAAAACGCTGAAATGCGGGCGAAATTTGAGAACGACCCTCAAAAATTCATTGCCAGCGAAGCCGACCTCGACACAGCCATCAAAGACTTGTCGATATTGTCAGACTACCCCGGTCTTTGGCCGGAGCTAGTGCGCCTCGGCTGCGTGGGCAGTCTTGTTGGGCTGCTGGCGCATGACAACACCGACATTGCAATTGACGCAGTAGAGATCATTGGGGAGCTGACTGACGAGGACGTGGCGGCCACTGATGACCATTGGAACACACTGGTTGATTCCATGCTCGAGGCAGATCTGGTTGACCTACTTGTCTCGAACCTGACACGTCTCAATGAGAATGACGAGGCTGACCGCAGTGGTGTCTACCATGCGCTGTCTGTCGTCGAGAATATTCTTTCGCGGCGATCTATTGCTGAACGGGTTGGTCAGAACGACCTCTTGGTGAATTGGCTCTTGGCGAGGATCCAGCTGAAAGATGCGATCGTGTCGCAGAACAAGCAGTATTGCGCTGAAATACTCGCCATCATTGCGCAAACGTCATCTCAAACACGTGCCAAGCTCACCTCTCTCGGCACTGTCGACGCTGCGTTACAGCTGGTGGCAGTCTACAGGAAGCGCGATCCTGAGAGGGGCAGCGAGGCAGAGTACATGCAGAATCTCTTTGAAACTCTTACGTGTCTAGTCGATGAGCCCGAAGGCAAAACTAAACTGCTCGAAGCTGAGGGCATAGAGTTATGTTTGATCATGCTGAGGGAAGGAAAGACGAGCAAAATGCCAGCTTTGCGCCTCCTCGACCACAGCACGGCTGAGGCGGCCGGCGGCGAGACCTGTCAGAGGCTGGTTGAGGCTGGTGGGTTGAAGATTATATTCACCATGTTCATGAAACGACAAGACGGCCCGACTGTGGAGCATCTGGTTAATATCTTTGCATCCTTGCTGCGACTTCTACCTCTAAATTCAGCAGAGCGAATACGTACCCTGGCCAAATTTGTCGAGAAAAGATACGAAAAGACCGAGAGATTGGTGACGGTCCGGAGAGACCTTGCCTCTAGGCTCAAGGTTGTCGAGCAGCGTATACAAGCCGAGCGAGATAAATTGGCCGAAGACGCCGGGTCTGAGGCGGCGGATGTGTGGCTGTCTTGGAGACTGGAAGGTGGCTTATTTGGTCTGCAGGCAGTGGACATTGTGCTGGCATGGCTCGTTGCAGAAGACAGCGGCGCACGCGCTACTATCGAGAGGCTGTTTGCCGACCAGGGTGAAAATCTGGATGTCCTCCGCAAGTCCCTTCAGGGACAGCTCGACGACCTTGACGATGAAGTGGACAGAATCAGCGATAAGAAAGACATGTTAGGTGCGCTACTCCATTTTGTGTAGCAGTTCTTGTGGCAAGGGGAGGTTACAACATTATTCTAGATAAGGAATAGTAAAAACGGTGATTTGAATCTAGGATAATTCGGGTCAAGGGCTGCGGGTTAATTGTAAGTCACACAACCCGCCTTCGCTGAACTGAAAGACAGGTGGTTGTGCATGAGCAGCACTGAAACAGTGAAAGCACTCACGCAGCCGCGGGAGGGACGGGCTTCACGTCGAAGACGGCCTTCAAGAGGTCCTTGACCACCTTGTCTTGGTTCTTCTGCCCTGCAGCCTTGATTTCCGAGATCTTGGCGTCCGCCTCCTTGTTCGCATCATCCTCAGCCTGCTTGTTGCCCGCCGAATGCTGCTGATGTCAGTCTATGATCAGCTGCAATACCGTCTGCCAGAAATGTGTTGCAGAAGTCTCATCGGAGTCGGTCTTACTTGCGATTCGAACTTCTTGTACTCAGCCTCCTTGGACTGTCTGTAGTCCTCGATTTCCTGCTTCGCTTCATCCCGAGCTTCCTTCACTCGCTTCGTGCGATCTAAGAATTGAGGTCAGGACACCGCACAGAGGGCTGTGGGATGCAGGTTGCACGTAGAGCAAGACGAACGTACATTCGCGGGCTGTTCAGATCCAGATCAGTCAGTAAAATTTCCGAGACGAACGTTCGTAAGGAAATGCACATATACTGACCCTTCTGCACAATTTTCGACGCATCTCTCTCCGCCTGTCAGTGTATCAGTTAAATCCTGTAGATTGTATTGTCGCAGCTGGTGTATAGTTGGTTGCATACGTCCAATAGGGTCTGGATACCCGCCGAGTTCTGTGCTGACTATGTCGATTATTAGCTTGACTGTCGATATGATGTGAAAGGGTGATAATGGTCACTGACCATGGCTGCAGAGTTGCTTGTGCCTACTACCTCAAGCTTCCGTTTGGTTTATGGAGACTGCCTCCCGTGTGACGTGCGAGCTCTGTCGGTGACGAGCCCAGTGATGCAGAGCCTTTCCGTTAGCTCCTCACTTCGATGGTGCGGAGGCAAAAATCTGTTCAACAAGTGTAGATTGGCTCGCTCGTCGTATACTTGATTCAAGGGCGTACAATTGGCGGCGGCGATGGTGATGTTGCGGACGTGCGGCGCGAGGCTGCAAATGGGGCCGGGCACAGAGAGGAGGTGGTTGAACGGTGGGCCGTCATGAGTGGAGCACAGAGCACGTTTCTTGGTTACCTTATCTGTGCTGACAGGCATGCGCCCCGACCAGTGCCATTGTGAAGGGGCATTTGTTCAGCTGATCGCACCATGTTCGCTCTCACGATCTTGCACGATACCAAGTTTGCTGAATGCAGGGCACGGATTGTGTTACTTGGGCGAGAACATCGGTCATCATTCAAATTTCAGGGTGGGCGGGCGGGCGAGCCGTTGAGCGCGCTGGGGCCTGAATCGCGGACCCCATGTGCATTAAATCACCTGCAACGATCATGATAAGCAACATCTGTCGAATCGAGGTAATAACGAAACAGACATTCTGTGAGGGAACTAGATGTGTATATAAAAGACGAGTTGTTCCATCTGCATAGGAGCATTGGGAGGAGTGCACTGTCGAGATCCAACGCCACTCAAAAGGTCGATCCACCTCCCGACCTACCCATTTTGTGTAAATATGTACATACTGCGCCTAGGTAGTTGCATATCTAGGTAGGTGGTGCATATTACCTCTAGGACTTGCTCTCGGGTCCGTCTCCGAATCGTCAAGCCTCTACCGCGCAATTCTCTTCATACCCGCGACAGTATCCCAAGTTATACGGCCTTGATCTGCAAGGGAAGCCAAACTTGGCATCCCCGGCAATCAGTGCAATGTCTCGCGCATCCAAGCTCACCCTGATGGGTACGTCATTCTTCGCCCTGGGGACGATCATTATGGTTCATTTCCAGCAAAGGTCTGAGAAGCAGGCAAGTCTTTTTAACTCCAACAACATCCACACCCGTCAAGGAATTTGAGGTGCTAATTGACGTGTCTCGGCGCAGGCCATGCATCAAGGTGTGCTGAGGGATATGGAACAACAGCGAGTCAAAAGAGAGCGGCAACTGGACTTCGATTTGCAGCGCGCTCTGGAACAAGAATACAAACGGGAACAAACCGTCCGGGATTCAACAACTCCGGAATCATCGCAAAGCTCAACAATATCGTAATCATGCAGAAAGCGCGCTTCACTATGCACTCGCGACAATCTTTGCTATTCACAGGCTACAACGACGAGATCATAGGTGGTAACAACCACTTCAGATAACCCAAACACAGGGGAACCATACAAATCACAACTCAGAGATAACTGCGCAGAACCGCGCAAGTGACGCATTTCACCACAAATTTCGGGGATTTTGATTATGACAGGCTACCTTTGGCCCTCTTGGTAAATGCGGATTGATGCGTCTGCCACGTATCTGTACGCTTTCCCCCCTTTTCCGGACCCGGTCTGCAGCGAGAACTGCTGCTATTACTGTACAATTTCGGGCATCAAACAAGCCTAACGTGCTAATTGAGTTCACAACTGGCTTGTAAGTGACGTCTTACCTTTCAAAGAGAGCCCTAGTGATGTGCATCCGACGAGACGCCTTTGCAGTGCATGACCCCAATCGTCTTGAGCGTCGAGTGGTGTCTGTTGCGGACGTTTGCCCCGCTATACACCCGCGCTTTTAGCGGATCGAAACGCCAGACCTGTCCGTGAACATTCGGGCAGCAATGTTCATTGATTGCAGTTCCTGGAAAAGGAGTTTGGCGGCATACGGAATATGGATTTGAGCGATTTTCGTCTTGTTCTTGCAAGGGCGACACTCGAAGGATTGCTTTGACAGGTTTCTGCAAGACTGTTTAGTGTGCGATACGTCGCATCAGGAATTCTTAGGGGTCGAGGACTTACGCGATTGGTGTCATGAGGCCACAGATTTCACAAACATGAACCCGGAAAGCATCCGAGACCTCAAATAACCTCTCCTTCAAGAATGAGGCAGCACCGTGTGCAATCATGCAATCTCGCTCCATCTCGCCGAACCGTAAGCCACCATCGCGGGCTCGACCTTCGACTGGCTGCCTTGTCATGATCTGCACGGGGCCGCGGGCGCGTGCATGAATTTTATCGTCGACCATGTGACGCAGCCGCTGGTAATAAGTTGGTCCAAAAAATACCTGAGCACGCAATTTCTTTCCAGTATGGCCGTTGTACATAACCTCGAATCCTCGAGATTGATAACCTTGGTCGCGGAGAAGCTGCGAGACGGAGTCTACAGTCACATCGGTAAAAGGCGTTGCGTCTCCTTCCATACCCTTCAATGTCGACACTTTGCTAAGCAGACATTCAATCAGATGCGCAATGGTCATTCGTGAAGGGATGGCATGAGGGTTGATGATGATGTCCGGGGTGATACCCTCTGAGGTGAAAGGCATGTCTTCCTGGCGGTACGTGACACCAATCGTTCCTTTCTGACCGTGACGAGAAGCAAATTTGTCGCCGATCTGCGGAATCTTTGTGGTCCTCACTCGCACCTTGACATATCGCAAGCCGTCCTGGTTCGTTGTGAGGATAACCGAGTCAATGATGCCGTTTTCCGTACTTCGCAATGGCGTTGAGGCATCTCGTTTGACGTGCTGCATCGTTCGTTGGCCAAGCTCTTGATTATCGGGGTTAATCGGCGACGTCTTGCCAATGATAATATCCTCGCCAGAAACGCGAACACCTGGCGCCACAATACCATCGTCATCCAACTTGTCGTACGTTCCATGCTTAAGGCGCAGGGTATCGTTTCTGAACGGTTTCTCAAATTGTTCCACGAGATTGATGCCTACCCGCTTCTCGCAATCCGTGTACGACCTAAAGAACAGGCTGCGGAATAGGCCTCGATCGATGCTGCTTTGATTCATGATGACCGAGTCCTCCTGGTTGTAACCAGAATAGCATGCAATAGCGACGACGGCATTCTGTCCCGCGGGAAGCTCTCGGAATTTCAGAAACTCCATTGATCTCGTCGTGGCGAGAGGCTTTTGCGGGTAGTAAAGAATGTTGGCCATTGTGTCCATTCTTCGAGAGTAATTCGTCAGGAAAAAACCCATTGCTTGCTTGCCCATGGCGGATTGGTATGTATTACGAGGCGACTGCCAGAATGTTAGCATGTTCCATGAACGTCAGGAGCTAGAGGAAAAATATGAAGTCGTACCTGGTTATGGTCGGGGAAGGGAATGATACTGGCGCAGATTCCCAAAATCATACTCGGATGGATCTCGCAGTGGGTATACATATGCGTCGTTTTAGCGATCTTCGTTCGTAGGCGGCGATTAGGCCCTTCGGAGATATCCTCTTCAACTTCATGCCCAGCTTTGCGCAATCGGTAGAGTTCTAGATCCTCAGGCGTCATGCAAATCATCGATGTCTCTTCTTCCTCAGCATCAAGGTACTCGATGATACCGCTATGGGCCAATGTTTGCCACGTGATCTTGTCTTCTGGGTTATCGGGAGGGTTTTCTTGCTGGTCCCGCATTTCATTGACAAGATCCTTCTGTAGTACGAGCGAGCCCTGAGGTACGGCACCGTGGTGGCTCTGCTCGACAACGAAGACCGGTCTCATGACTCGACCAGCGTCGGAGAAAATCTTGAACTCGCGGTCGCGAATGTCGCGGACCAGGGACACTTCGTGAGATATGACGTTGCGACGACGTGTGCCCTGAACGTCAGGGACCAGCACGCGCGGGTCTTGATGAACGCCTACCCAGACACCGTTGAGAAAAACCTTGGTCGCGTTGGGATACCTGAGCGGCTCGTACTCTTCCAAAACCTCCATACCACGCTGGATCATGTAATCGATGATGGGCTCTGCTGGCGTGCCAACGCTGACATAGCACATCAAGGATAGGTTCTTGACAAGACCGCAAGCCTGTCCTTCTGGCGTTTCGGCGGGACACACCAGGCCCCAGTGAGTGTTGTGGAGTTGTCTAGGTTTGGCGATCTTGCCATCTCTGCCGATGGGCGTGTTCGTCCGCCGCAAATGTGACAAGGTCGATGCGAATGTGTACCGGTTCAAGACCTGGGACACACCAGCGGTTGAGCTCGCAGCCTTCTTTTGATCTCCCCAATTTCCTGTAGCTAGCGAGTATTTGAGACCATTAGACAACGTCTGGGGTTTGACGCCGAGAGTCAGACTGAACTGTCGGTTGGATTCGACGCAACGCTTGAGATGCCCCGAAAGCTCCTGATTCATGCGACGAACGATAGTGCGGAAGAGCTTCGCCAACAGAGGTCCTGCGAGGTCCAATCGCTTCTTTCCGAAATGATCGCGGTCGTCAATATCGCGTCTTCCTAAGGCGCACTGCAGCAGCTTGTGAGTCATGTAGCCAAGGAAAAACGCCTTCCTGGTCTCACTGCCTTCGCTCTGTGAAATATGAGGCAAAGTCTCCTTCTGCAGTATTTCCTTGGCACTTCGCACACGCTTCTCTCTAGTCATCGTGTGGTTGCTGTTGCCGCGCTTACCGATCCAGTCAAGGGCTACGTTACGGTCCTGGACGATGAAGGCCTCTTCAATGCAAGGCCGAAGCATTTCCAGCATTTGCGTGTCGTTTCTGTCGTAGCAAATGTGATTAAGAATATCTTCATCAGACACGATGCCGAAGGCGCGGAAGACGATGCCAATGGGTATGTCAACCTTGACATACGGCAGAGTGCAGTGGATGGTCTGGCCGACTCCGCCCTTGGCAGGACTCTTACTGTGCAGCTTGAGCATCAGGCTCGAGATCAGTCGCGAGCCCTTCTCGAGAGCACTGCGAATCTCGGCAGTGTACGAAAAGGGGCTTGGCTGAGCTTTCTTGAAGACCTGTACAATGTTCGCAGCGGAGCGTTCTTGGGCGATGAGAACCTTCTCGCTGCCGTTGATGACGAAGTAGCCGCCCTGGTCGTAAGGGCACTCGTTGAGCATAAAGAGGTCGTTCTCACTCTCGCGGCTGAGGTGGCAGATCTTGGATTTCACCATGATAGGCATGCGTCCAATGAAGATCATGTCCTTCATATCTTCTGGCTTGTCTTTGTCGGCGCCTGGGTCGTCGCCACTCTCCTCCTCTTCCCACTCTAGTCTTGTCGGATGCTCGCCTGTCCTGCCCATCTCGTCATGCTGTTCGTCATCCAGCTCGTTGAGCGGGATTTGGTTCTCAACAGCGATGGACACTTTCTTCGTGATCCTGACGTAGAGGGGACTCGCGTATGTCAGGTTGCGGTCACGGCATTCGTAGGGAAGTAGCGTCGAGACTTTGCCGTCTGCCTCAGTGATCGATGGTCTGGAGACCATGACCGTGCCGAATTTGACTTCATATCTGCGTAGTGCAATCGCTCTATCACTGTCGGATGCAGGGTTCGGCTGGTCAAGGGTTATGTGGGAGTATTCGTCGATGAGCTCCTGGACTGTAGATGTCGTGAACTCGTCGAAAGAGTCGACCTGCTGCGACACCAAGCCTTTCGAGTCGAAGAATGAGGATATGACAGTCCAGCAATCTTCGGGAGTGATGCTTGCGTCGTCCTCTTCGTATCCATCATAGTCGAATTCTTCATCGTACTCGGTAGCCATTTCGAGCAGTGCGCGTTGCGCAAAGGAACGACGTTGTGCGTAAGCGAGGCTTAGTAGCTGATTCGTGTTTGTGACAAAAGGCGAAGGCGGAGACGGGAATCGTTGACAAAGGCGACCAATATCACCTCTTCCGGGCGACACTGCCTTCGTTCGATAGGGGTTGCATGTAACAGACGATTCGGTTGATGGGAAAGGCCGAAACGTGAGGTAGCAAGGGCGGTATGTGTGAGGGCGATCAGAGTTTCTACTATGGTCGGTATTCTGAGACGACGCAAAGCAGGCAGGCAGGCTGTGGGACAGTCGAGGGACGTGTCGGGCCAGTTTTTTAGCCCCCTACGCGACAGGTCCTACTAAGGATGGCGACCTGCTTATTGTTCTCCAATTCAATGAGTATTAGGTAAGTCGAGGCATGAAGGAGGGGATGGGTTTCATTAGTCGCTGGCAATCAACTGGTGGGTCCTAATGTTTGTCTCATGTATCGTATATATGCATAAGAGTGTGCTGTACAGAGGCTGTAGTCACGCCTGGACACTCCGGGAAATCTCACCTCATTTTGAATCGACACTTGATAAGGTGCTTCTGCTTCAACGACCGTCACCATCTGAACTAATATGTCAATTTAAGTCTTGATTTACACGAATCCGCATGCTCAGATTTATACATTGAGGCTGTCTTCTGTTGAGACGTGAGGTTCTTTGCAAAGAGGACCTCCCCAGCGTCCATCTTCCTTGACATCAGCCGTGCCATGCAATGCCTGGCACAGCGCAACAAAGCGACAAGGCGCCGCGGATCCATACGAGAGGACCCTACAAGGAGCGCGGAGGCGTGTTTTTGCTTCTTTCGGCTTGAGATGGATTCGCTTGCTCA